CACCTTGGATAATCTCCAGAAATCAATTTAAAGGGTAATAAAATAATTGCTCATGTAATATTTTCCCTATAACTATTACAAAAACACAAAATAAGTATAAATAAGTATTTATATTTGTGTACAAGCAGTTTAGATTGTCAAAAAGCCTGTGTTTTTAGGGTTATTAACAAAGTTTGTGTACTCAGAGCAGTAAAATTTGGGGTCACAAGTTTTTGCCATGGATAGTTTGTGGGTCAGAAGATAAAAAGTTTGGGAACCACTGCTTTAGAATATTTCACAAAAATAAAAGTTGGCAGCAACCCTTTAAAAAGAAATGAAAAAAAAAAACTTTTTTTATTGGTGAGACCAATAACTACTGAGTTTATACTCCTGCCCCTAAGGGAGGACATGCTTTTTTATTGGCTTGTTGCAATTCCAGAAATAAAATGCGAGCTGAAGCTCAAATGTAGAGCACCTTACCTGTCCATCAGTCCCAATGGTGCCTCCACAGTCACTGAGGAGCTCGGACATGTCATAGTAACTGGTGAATTCCCATAAGCAAGCCTCCAAGTTGAGGTTCCTGTAGAACCTTAACGTACCAGCCCCTCTTAGAGAACTGTCATACTGGTAAGGCTCTGTATTGCCGATCACTTCGGGATTCTTGGTGGCCTCAGTAAGAAATCCGTAGCGGGTCTTGACCTCGTTATAGTCCAACAAATTGGAGCAGCGATGGTTGCCAACACGGGTCCCATCAGGGCTCAGAGTCAGCTCAAAGTTAGAAAGAGGTCGGGTTGACATGACAGGCAGCATTCCTGTAGGAGGAAACGAGTGGTACGAAAGTAGAAATGTAAAAGTGTCATAAACTAAAGAAAGCTACTTAATAAAAATGAATTAGTGTTATACTAGTGATATGTTAAACAACCACTTTCAAGACTTTTGACTTAATTGATGTTTTCAAATCAGTTGGTTTCTAAGTTTAGTGAGGAACCATCAGAAGTAAACAGCTGTTGTTCTCACCATCAATGTGAGGCATGGTGACAGTTAATTTGATGAGATTGGGGTGGTCTGTATCCTCTGCTCCACTGTATCGCAGCTTGGCAGAGAAAGGTTCAGCCCCCACTGTGCCTGCAACACGAGGCTGACACATTCCTGCAACCAGGCAATATATATTAAAAAAACTTTTAGTTTCCAAGAAGAATTCTGAAAAAAATATACAGTACTTCATTTTCTGCATGAGTGAGGCCAAGTAGGCTGAACTCACCTTTGTCTGTGCTGATTGACACTATGGGGCTACTAAGTTCTAGACCTTCATCCCCATTAGAGTTGACAGCCCTTGCAGCACACTGGACCCTAGAACCAGCCTGGAAATAGACTGAGTCCAAAGTTATGAGTTTGGAGGAGGTGAAGAAAGTGTCAAAATCAACTTCCCTCATCGGGCTGGTGACACCGTCTGGACCTGTGGGAGCGCTCACAAGCCAACGATAGCGAGTCAGTGTGTTATTGATGTTCTCGCTTACACAAATAGACCCCGTTTTCTCATAGTCCGGATACTTGGGATTGCAAGCCTGAAAGAAAAAAATAATAATGTTTGCATATGAAAGAACGACAGAAACAACAATCAACAATGGAGACAAATATTTACTGGCTTTTGGCTTAATAATTATTAAGACGTACAGTGACACAGATGGCAGGGTATCCAGCCAGAGGCAGGGAGTCCCCACTTCTGATGTCATCATAATGATACAGAGAAACTACTCTGGGTGTAGAGGGAAACGTGACATCTGCCATGCTGTTGGGCTCTTCAATGTAAATAATGGTTTTGCTCGTCTGCCAACAGACCAATTATAGAGTTATTCAAGGAAAACAAATGATTTGTTTCGCAAAGCTGTGGCAAATAAATTTAACCTTAGTTTCTGCCACCATGTTCTCATCAGGCTTAAGATGGACAGTGAAGGCCTCTCTCATTTCTCTGATACCATCGTATAAAACCTCCACCTCCACATAGTGCTCTGCATCACCCTGTTTGAACACGATTTCTGCAGGAGAAAGGAGAGAAATTTGACAAATATTTTCCAGCAAAATCCACTCGGCTGGTTGCCTGATAAAAGAAGCTGGGAATAATATTTACCCTCGGAAATTGGATGGTAGTCCTCCCCAGAGGTAGCCGATCCATCTTTGGTGTGAACTCGAACAACAGAAACTTTGGAGGTGTCTCCAACACGCAAGACAGGGATCTTCACCACAGAGACTTGACCTTTTTCCTTTGGTTCATTCACACTAAATTTGGTCTCCCCAAAACTAATAATAGGCTCTGAAAAAAAAAACAAAAAAATATTTCATTTCATTTTTATCATGCTGGTAAACTGTCACATTACAAAGATATCAGATATCACAGCCAAAATGTTATAACTCTGAAACCGTTCCCACTATAGCGATGTTATAACCAGATCTAAAACAAAAGAAGTAATATTTAACTAAAATTCTCCCCATAACTGTTTTAAGCAGGTCTATTCTTATGAGCAACTCTTAAAAAGAAAGCAAAGCATTCTTACTGTCTGCATCATCATTTATCTTAATGAGTGTCTCATTCTGCTTCCCAATCAAAGCTCCGAACGGAGAAGCACTCTTGGGGCTCCCCAACACAAGACGGAGCTCTTCTTCCTCCTCATGTTGTGTGTCATCAACCAGTACCAGCAAACAAGGTTTTTCACTCTCTCCTGAAGAATAAAAAGCAAAGACTGAGCTTGAAACTGAAAGACTTGAAACTGAGCCTTGATAGGTCCTAATGTATATGTATTTCTTTAATCTGGGAAGAGGATGAGATGTGATACAGTGCATCTTTCCTTTTATGGCTAATGCATACTGCATATTGTCCCTGTTTTTAAATAAAAAGGTGTATATATATATATAAAGACTGAACAGCAAAAGACTGGTCTAAAGTATTTTTTGCTTGGGGACATCTGTTAATATATTTTTAAAAATGGGAATCCAGGTGGGACATAATGATAGGGTTCGCGTGTTTCCCCTCGATTCGTGCCACCCATCGGTGAAACAGTTTGTAATCATACTTTCAAAACCAGAGTCAAATCTTCAGGCGAGTGACTCAAGACTATAAATACACCAGCCAAGTCCCGCTGTACAAGCATTTTTATGTCTTACGGTCTGACCCCACCAAAATATTTTCCCGGATGCAGAGTCAATATCAAACAGCAATTACCTCTGCAAGAAAGGACAAGTTTCTCCAAACACATTGCAGGCAAAAGCAGCAAGGTGGAAATCATTTGGCATCCATGTTGTCTGCCACACGGGAAAACAGCTGTTGCTGTAAGGATTGCAGCTGTTCAGGATAATGTAGCAAGACTGGACAGCTTGTAAATGTTCTGTTTTTCCCCTTTTAGCCCATATTATTTACCCTTTACAGAAAAAACGGGAAAGTATAATTTAACATCTATTTAGAACAAAAGGTGTCCAAAAGGATATTAGGCAGAAGTACACATAGCAGCTTATTCTCACCACACAGTTTTCAACTCATTTTCCCCTGTTTTTTCTAAATTATTTTGTGAAAAAGTTACTGGTTATGGAAAATAACATGTCGCAGGCAATTGTACACAAATAATTCTGCAGCCAGCTGCTATTATACCAAATGATAGTACTTCTGACATGCACAGAAAATCCTTCAAATCACAACACTGTCCAGAATTTTGGCATCTTTAGTGATACTTTCTAAATAAAATCAGTTGCTAAACTTTGAGGTTTCTGTGAACTAATGAAGGATTTACAGCTTTACAAGTTAAAGTCTGTCAACAGGTGACCCTGACTGAAATTGTAGCAACCATCAGTCACAAGATCAGACAAGTGAACTATAAATTATACCAAGTGCTTTTACACTATGAGTCACATTCAGTCATTCATATGCAGATTGGGGACATTCAGTGTCTTGCTCAAGTGGTGAGAAAAGCCAGAATCAAACTGACACCTCTCCGACTGACAACTGCTTTTCTCCTGAGCCACAACCACCTCTATCAGGCGATTTGATTGGATGGCTAGGATAACAAATCAAAGCAACAAACCCAGAACTCAATTTACCAATTTTAGATGTTGCTCTATTTAAAGTGAATTAAAAGAGAAGCAGCTGAAGCCTGAAACGTGTATGTTGTTTTCTCCCTAAAGATTATAGTTTTTTTTAAAGCTGTCATGAACCACGTCTGTCCTGCCTTCACTTCACGTCATAGTTTCTCACAGCCAAGTTTTTCACTCATTGCTTCACCCCTCCCGTCACAGAAACCACAATCAAGCTCATTCCACTCACCTGTTATCACCAGTATTTAAGCTCCACTCCTCCACTG